TGTCATTTAACATCGACGCCTGAAGAACGTTGGAAAGGTCACTAGTCATATCAAGCATGGTTATACGACTCACACTATGTACAAATCACCTTTAGTTTACCAACCTGGCTTTCTTCAGCAGTTTTATTTATACTAAATAGAACTAAACACACTATGCATATTGGCCGAGCCAGGGTTTTCAAAACCGAATCATTTATGCTACGGTTTTACACATTAAATACTTATACTTCATGATTAGCTTTAGCTAGTCACATGAGGTAGTATTTTCGCATATCACTACGGTTTTCAGAAACGAACATTCATGGTTGTATACGAAATCGATAATGCTACGCTTTTCACTAAAGAAAATATCGGATTTTCTTGAGACTACACAAACATTTCGGCTCGCTCATTAACAAGTTTTCATTACAAATTACTACTTATGAACTCACCAACTTTATGCTGATATTTTTCAAACTGCTTGTATTCTCAGGAAATCAGTAGACAGGTACTTGCTAGATTTTCGAGGAACTGAAGCATTAAGAGTTTTTAAGTTTTTATTTTGCAAACTACTGGATGTAATTTAAACTAAGTTTCAAACAAATGTAAACGTTTTTATTCAAGTATTCACTGTAATGGTTGCGTTGCTATGATTGCTGTTATTCATTGGTTGTGATGCTATACATGACGTCCTCCGCCCCGGAACGTTTCTGCCATCGGTTTCAGGGTGTGACAGTGGGTTTTCTGCTTGCTGGCATGTGTTACTTCATGATTGGGCTGAAGAGCAAGAGAGACCACCGCCACCACCGTGAGGTGGTGGCTGTCATCGCCAAAACATTCGCTGTCGCTGCCGTGAGCCACCAGGTGGGTGGCTGGATCCGTTTGCAAGAAAGAAAGCGTGTGGGTGTTTGTTTCTGCTGTAGTGTGTGTTGTGTGTGTAGTTTGTTTGGCTGGAAAATCAAGAACAGCCACCACCACCACCGTGAGGTGGTGGCTGCCACCATCTACCACTGCCGGCCACCACAAGGTGGCTGTGTGTGTGTTTATTTTTAGTGTGTGTTTATTTTGGGATTAAAGCTTTGTAAAATGTATTAGAAAGTGGAATAATGAAAAAAGAAACCCTAACCACCACCGTGAGGTGGTGGCTGCCGCCTCCTGCCGCCACCGGCCGCCGTGTCGGGTGACGATGTGCCTCGTTTGGGATGTTTGGACAAAGAGAGTAAAACACTAATGGGCCTAATAAACCCTAATGGGCCCAATGAAGCCCTAATTGACCTAAAAGCCCAAACATGTAACTAATGGGCCTAATGAACCCTAATTGATCAAAAGACCTAGCTATTGGGCCTATGAGGCTAAGATGGGGTTGGAAACCCTAATTAGGGTTTAGAAAACCCTAATATTAGATTTATGGGCCTTAGACTTATTGGGACCCACTTTTGGGCCACTGGAATGGAGTTGTTAATTACACCCAATCACACCATATGACTTATCTAGTAGCGTGATGGACTTAATGGATTAAGTCCTTAATGGGTTAATTGAGAAACACTTAACCCTAATTGTCATTTTATGTGAAACCCTAATCTTACTTGGGCCTTGAGTTGGGCATTTCCATTGGGCTTTGGTAATTGGATTATTAATGGACCATCCAAGAATAATCATATGGACTAGAACATGTTGATGGGCTTAGGGTAAGGCCCATATGAGGGTTTGGGCCCAATTTGGAAAATTGGGCCATAGATGG